AGACAGCCGGGATTATCAGATTAACGGCTGCAGCTTTTGTTCTGTTCATGTGAGCAAAAAAACCTGCTCAGATTGAATTTATGAACAAAGTCGACAGAAAATTCACCAGATTTACAGTTTGTGATTTTAAATAACTCTGAAACTTTTTTTTTTTACGAGCTTGCCGCCCTGCTGCTCGTCTCACATGGACTCGACCCGGCTCGGTTCTTAGGACCGACTCGGCCGCGGTTCTAAGTGAGCCGAAGGTTTGACGTCACCGACATCGATTCCTGAGTTAATATGGCAAAAAATGACTTGAAATAATATTTATTTTCCTGTCAGTTATACTGTTGCTGTGCACGGCCCTACAAGAGGTTACAATCTGTGGTATGTTGACTTCCTTCACCTACGAAAAACAGCCGAAATGACTGAAAGTAGGCCAAACCACGTGTCAACCATATTCACGTACGCAGACCACAGCCAAACACGTTTTAGATTTACACTTAAAAAACTACAAAGCTGCACCGTTTSATCAAGTTCAGGAAGATTGTTTTTATCTTTGGAACGAGAAGCTTTAACTCTTTAACCCTTTTAAATACTTCACTTAAAAAAAAGGCCTCAGCCTTCCACTTGTAATAAAGCTGCACGTTTTAAAACKCTTATCTAAAAAACACAAAGTCCACCCTGAGGGATTTTAGTTTAGCATGGTAACGGATGAAAACAATAAAACTGGAGTGCAGACCTCTTCTGTTTGAATAAACGTTCCTTAAACAAGTAAAGGTTTAAATCAGATGAGATAGTGACTTTTTTTTATTTTAAATAAGAGCAAATGAAGTAGAGCGAGTTGGACCCTGTCGGAGGAAAGATTTGGTAAGGCTGATCGGTTTCTGATAAAATAAAATGGTTCAGAGGAAAAAGGCCAGCGTTAAAGTGTACACAGACATGGACAGAAGTGTTGGTACCCCTCTGGTAAAGACAGAAAATCCCACATTGAAATAACATAACAAAGCATTAAAAAATAAAAAAAATGAAGAAAGAAAAGAACATTACCTACTGGGAACAAGGAGCAGGCTCGGTTCTGTTCTGGTCCTGCTTTGCTGCATGGGGCACAGTGGATCTTGAATCTGTTTAGGGTACGATGAAATCTCAAGACTATCAAGGCGTTCTGGTCTCAGTTGCAGATCCTCCAACAGGATGATGACCCAAAAGAGACAGCTAAAAACTGGATGGTTCTGAAGAGTCTATCTGATCTGAATCCTGTTGGACATCTGAGGGAGGAGCTAAAAGTTACGGGTACCATGTTTGATTTTCATTGGTTAATTCTTTGAATGTTTATTCATTTGTTATTTTGTCAGTTTTGAGTCATTTCCAAGTAGGGGTCTCTGCGGACGAGTGGGCGTGTCGCAACGAAAGGCGATTCTAAAGCGACACACCTGATTTGACGGACTTTGTTAAAGGGACACACCTAACTGGACAAGCAAAAAAGGGGCGATACCGTACGGCACCACCTCATTGGACAAGAACAAAAGGGGCGTTACTGTACGGCACCACCTGATTGGACAAGAACAAAAGGGGCGTTACTGTACGGCACCACTTTTTCTGGAGACCCCTACTTGGGTCACATTTCTCCTGGTTAACCTTAGTGTTCGGGTCAGGGTGTAAAGAGATCAAGCAGGGTCCAAGGATACCGTCATGTAGGCCTCGTAGCCCACAGTGTTTATGCTTTAGACACGCCCACTCTTGTGACACGCCCACTTTAATTCTGCAGATAACCCCTTCTTGTCATTTCACTGACCATCGCGGGCTTTTTGGTTTTTAACAGAGGGGTACCGACAATTATCTCCACGTCTAAAAGTTTTTATAGTTTTTTTTAGGCTGCGGAGTTAAAAACACACAGAACACAAACGGTTGTTTGCTAGTTTATGGCTTGTTTGGGTCAAACGTTTCCTTCAAACTGAAAGCCGGTTTGTGTTCGACTCAACCGGTTCAACAAGGCACAAAATAAATAAACAATAAATCACAGTGTTTCGGTTTCTCTAAGTGCTCCCAGCAGATTTAATCCTGAGTGGAGGCGGAACGTGAGCCTCGCTGTCAGGACGTACTGGACTTYGTGGTGATCCGGATCTTCCTAACGATGACCCAGTCCTTCTGGGCGGCGGTGACCAAGACCCTCAGACACGAGGAGGCTGTCTCGTGCAGCTTCTCTACGCTCTGCGACTCGAACGCCCCGTTCTGGAGAACTCCCAGCGACTGGAAGTCCCTGCAGCTCCTCTCGCTGCCCGAGGCGACCACGTCCCGGCCCAGCTCCACCTGAGCCGATTCCAGGAGGTCCTTACCCCCTGATCCGGTTTCTACCAGCACCCCCGTCACCACGGCGGGTTCGTGGAACACCACCGTCAGGTGACTTCCTTTGTCCGGAGAACGCCCCCAGAAGAAGCCCTCCCCGGCCTCCCAGGCCAGTTTGGGGTAGTTCTTCTGGTAGGTGGACATGTTGGAGTAAACGTCAGCTGAAGGGTTGGTGTAGACCCCGTCCTCAAAGAACTTATCCTTCAGCTTGTTGTAAATCCCTTGGAAGGAAGAGAAAGTGCCCATGTGTTGGAACAACGAGGGTTTGAAGAGGATCGTCTCCTTTTGGGTCATCAGTTCTCTGAAGTGGCTCATCAGCCAGTCGCAGGGCATTTCCTGGTAGAACAGGAAGAGGAAGCGGGCCAGGAGGGGCAGGTGGGCCGACCTGTACAGCTTCCCGATGTAGCCGAGGGCCGAGAACTCCAGCGTGGCCCACGTGCCTTTCTTAGAGTTCTGCTCTTCGATTCGTCTCCTCATGGTCGACAGGAAGTTCTTGGCGGAGGAGACGTCGTCCTCCAGCTGGAGGTAGTACTCGCCAAGAGAGGCGCAGTAGTGGACCAGGAAGGAGTAGTCCAGGTTCTGCTTGGATCGGAACATGACCCGATTAGGAGGATCATTGTAGTTCCTCTTTAGACCTTTAGGGGGAACCAGAGAGACTTGTGTCAATGTCACATCAACACGTATTTGTCCAGAACAGAGGGACACCTGCTGCACCTGTGAGAGGCGGGTACCAGTCCTGCGGGACGTGGATCACCACCAGCTGGCCCTGTTCCAGCTCCGAGGCGAACGCCGTCTTGATCTCCGTCACTGTTGCGATTCTCCAGCTGGTGTCGAAGTCCGCCAGCAGAACCACGACCACCATGGAGGAGCGCTCCTCGGGAGACGACTGGGAGAAGAGGGACCGCAGCGTGGGCACAAGGTAGCTGCCTTTCTGCCTCTTCACCGAGGACAGCCCCACCGTCAGAAACCCTGAAACCAGTCGGGTTATAGAAACGTTTGTAGGACACTGAACATCAACATTTTCAGAATAAATCTTCATAAATCTTTATCACACTTTACTTTTGTTCTGGTTCTGATTGATTTTACTTTTGTTGTAATTTTAGCTTCTTTGTCATATATTTTGCTGATTTTTTTTTTGATTTTTTGATTTTAGCTATCATTTTGACCTTTTCTGCTATTCTGTTTATTTCAACTTTTTAACACCGTTTTGTGTTTTTAGCTACTTTTTAACTAAATTCACATTTCTGTGATAATTTCAGCTTTTTTACTGCTTTACCCCAGATTTACACTAGATGCGGCAGCGTTCCGCTGCATAGTTCGTAGCTGTTCGTTTGCGCCCAAGTTTTTACAGCCTCAGATCTGGTGTGACACACAGAGGAGGGAGGGTGTGCAGGAAGGAGATCACCTGATAAATCCAGTGATAAATGYGGAAGTCAGAGCAAAAACTAATTAATTCTGTGAAAGATGAACTCCAAACACAGCTGAAAACATTGATATAAAAGCTTTTGATATCTACGGTTGAAACTGTATCGCTGTCGTCTTTCTGAAACTTTTGATTTCACAATAAAATCCATGTGTATCGTGTCTGTTCATATGCTTCATGCTACGTTTCCATCTGCTTCCCAAACAGAACCATACATTCTGACAACAGTTGTGTACAAATATATACATTTATTTTTTAATATAGATGGGATTCTGACAAAACTATTCCTCCTTACGGTGTCTTATTTTGAAAACACAGATGTTGTGCTTGTTCCTTTCCCTGTTGGTGTGACATGATCTCAGTAGATTGACTCCGGAGCAGCTCCGGTGTCTGGCAGAAATAGGATCAGGTCTAATTTTGGCGGCTGTCCGTCTGCTCACCGCCGCCGTGTGGAGCCAATGTAAATACTCTGATTAGAACAGGTGTGTATTTACTGCGGAGGTCGGGCCGCAGCGCAGCGGAGACGCACGTAGTGTAAATTAGGGGTTATTCAGCAAACGTGCTTATCCAGTTTTAGCTTTGCCAGATACTTTTTTGCCAATTTTAGTTTTCTGTGTTTTAGCTACTTTTCGATTTTTTTTCAGCTCGATTAACCTTTTTGTAATTAATTCATCGTTTTACTGCATAATTCAGCAAACATGCTCCTGCTGTCTCAGCTCTTTCAGCTACTTTTTTAAGCTATTTTTCAGCAAATGTTAACTGTTTTACAAATTGTAACTTTTATGTACTTATTTTCTTGTTTTTCTGCTAATGTTAGCTTTTTACGCTCCTTTCGCCATCTCCGTTAATTTGGACTTTTTCTGTGCTTTCTTCAGCTTCTTTCTATTAATTTCAGCTGTTTGTGTTCTCAGCTACTTTTTAGCTAAATTCACCTTTTTTGTGATAATTTTAGCTTTTTACTGCTTAATTCAGCAAACAAGCTCCCTCTGTTTCAGTGCTTTCAATTACTTTTTATCCATTTTCTCTGCTAATTTCAGCCGTTTTAGCTATTTTGCAACAAACTGCAACTTTTATTTAGTTCTTTTCTTGTTTTTCTGAGATTTTTTTCTCCTGTCTTGTTTCAACTGGTGAAATGATGACCACTATTAATTTCAAGGTCACAAAATAAAAAGGTCACAGGTCAGCCATTTTTTCTGCTTGTTTTACCTTTTTTATCCAAATTTTATCTATATTCATTTTTTATTAGTAAACTCACCTGTTTTGCTTCTTGCAACTTCTTGGTGCTTTCAACTTTTTTTCTGACTTTTTAACTATTTTTTTCTAATATTGTACTGATTTATGCTCATTTTAGCTACATTCATGCTCAGCCTTTACACATTTTTGCTTTTTTTCTGTTTTTTTTTTTGCCCACTTTCAGCCAAAGTCAGTTTTTTACATGTATCTCACATGAACAGTTTCAGCTTCTTCAGCAGCTTTCAGCAAAACTCTTTTAGCGTTGAGCATTCTCCGCATTTTASAAGGAAATGCACGTTCTCTAGTTTCCTTTGCTTCGGAGTTTTTAAAGCGATTATGGAGCTTCAGGAGGTTTTGCTAGTTGTGCAGAGGAGAAGGTGGGTGTGGGAGGTTGAGATGTTTTCAGATAACGGTCAGATTATCAGGGGGTTCTGAGGGGCGAGGTTCTGTGAGGCGGTGGTGTCGGAGGAAACACACAGGAACTGGACTCACTCTGGTGGGTGGACGGCGCTCCGGCCAGCAGCTGATAGCTCACATTTAGAGGCAGGAAGTTTCCCTGCTCCACCCACGACTCTTTACTGATCAGCCTCTCCACTTGCCAGCTCAACTCTTTGGGAATCACCTTCAAAGATCTTCTTGGGACCTGAAAAAAAAAAAAAGGAACAAGATCAGGTTTTAATGTTTGCACAGATTCCAACACAGACTGGAAGCTGATCCTCTGAACCTCTTTTGTATTTAAGACGCACATTTAAATGTTTAAATTGACCGCCTCTCACAGTGTGTGTGTGTGTGTGTTCTCACCATCCCAGAAAAGTCTGAATGACTGAAGAAGTACAATCCAGTGACGAGAAGCAGCAGCACTGCCAGAGCCACATTCTTCTTCTTCTTCCTAAAGAAACGTGGCATCTCCTGACAGAGGGGCACAGAAACAATGAGCTAGTTTCTCCGTGAACAACACATCGAGCTACATCCATAAATCGATTAAATAATTAACGATTCCAGACGCTTTGCCAGGTCAGCCACTTCCTCTGCTTAAACACACTCCGACAGGCATCTGCAGAACTTAAAGACTTGCTGCAGAGCAGGGAAACAACTAAAACATGCAGGATAGGGGACCTCCAGGACCTGTGGTCTCATTTATAAAGGATTGCGTGGAAACCATACTAAAAGTGAACCTACGGCCAAAAGGCGGAAATGGCGTACGCCAAAAAAATTCAGATTTATAAAACCATGCGTACGCATGTTTCTGAGCATCTTTCCTTTTTAGATCACAGCCGCACGTCAGAGTTTGCGCACGAGGTCCTGCCTCAGGTTCTACCCTCTACACGCCCACACTCAACCATAAACAGTCAATGTAAAGTACCTCATGAATGTTAAGATGTATTTAAATCAGTCAGATGATCAATGCCAACAAAAGTGATTGGTTCAGACACGCTCCTTCGTGCGTCTGGAGGTTGACAGGTGCTGACTGACAGCTGCTCATGTGAACAGAATGTCTGTAACTGACACAGATTTTCCCTCGTTTTGCTTTAGAGTAATCTAATGATTTTTTATAAAAAAAATACTCAGCTTCAAATTAATTTTCCCTCAGAGCCTGCAGGACGATAAAAACAAAACAAAAAAAATTAAATAAGTCAGATAAAATTAGAAATAAATTCATTGCTCTTCTCCTCGTCCCTTCCCCCTCCTGCCTGCTCTGTTATCCGCGGCAGACACCCCCGCCCCGCGCACACACACATACACGCATGCACCCCCGCTCGTGCGTGACAAATACGGACTTTAAACGTGAAGTTTTATAACATTCACACTGGCGAGGTGGATGCGCCCTGCGCGTGTATCCAAAGCGTGACTTTTGCTGTCCTGCTCGGGGAGGGGTCTGTGGGTCAGAGAGGGGTCTGTGGGTCAGGGAGGGGTCTGTGGATCAGAGAGGGGTCTGTGGGTCAGGGAGGGGTCTGTGGGTCAGGGAGGGGTCTGTGGGTCACGGAGGGGTCTGTGGGTCACGGAGGGGTCTGTGGGTCAGGGAGGGGTCTGTGGGTCACGGAGGGGTCTGTGGGTCAGGGTCGTCTGAGGAGGAAGCAGATGAATGGAGTTGCGCATGGTAACTTTTATTTAAGATTAAATTTTTTTTATTTCAAAGGTCCTCATGGCTCAGTAGCAGCAGCAGAAGCATAAATATTACTGTTAAGAAAGCTGATGATAAAGTTGAATAAAAATCTAAGTCTGATTCTGAAGGTAAATTAAATATCTGACAGTGATCATTACACAGTGTGGCTCTAATTCTTCACTTCACCATCTGTGTCGCAGTTTCACGTCTCCAAAATGAGCGTACGCATGGGTCAGAGCTGGTGAGAGGCACCGCACATTTTCACGTCAAGTTTGGATTTTATAAATCACAACCTTGGCGTAAAAAGTGGCGTACGCAAGTTTCTGGGCTCAAATTGTGCGTACACACCAGTTTTATAAATCCGACCCCTGGGCTGTACACAGAAAACAAGTTTTTTTCTTTTCCTCTCTCTTATATCTAGGAAAGCAGGAAACACTCATCATGAAGTCTGTGTTTCACATTAAACTGCCTCCATGTGGTTTTCAGTCTATAAAGCTTTGTTTGTATGAAGTGTCTACCTGCATTTCACATACCCTTAGCAAAAAGTAGTATGTTCAAATATCCTTTAAGTGTACTAACATTACATTAAAAATGAAAATATACTTCCAGTTTAATTTTTATGTACTTATCTGAGATATACTTGAGACATAACAGTACATTTAAAGTACACTTTTTTTTATAAAAAAGTCCCAATTTAGTATTAAATCAGTATACTTTCTAGTACACTACACTACAAGTACATGGTGCCTACTTGATATACTTACACTTATACTTAAGTATACTTAGCAAAAAGTAGTATACTTAAAGTTAATTTTAATAAGGGTAGATACAACTTGGTCATTCAAGGATATGTAAATATCCTTAAAACAACATATATTGTACAGGAATACACGTTCACAAACAAAAAAAAAAAAACACGCTAAACTATAATGTGAGCTCCGCTAACGCTAAACGGATAAAAAAAATTAGCGGAAGCTAACGCTAACCTCTAAGATGTTTAGCAGGATCAACACAAACCTGTTGTTAGTTTTCTATTGGTTTAGTTTTAAAGTGGGCGGGATTATCTGTGGCAAATTGGCAAATCCAAACCAGTTACAGTCCAATCTGATACTTCCACTTTACCCCTTTCAGAATAAAAGCATTTCTAGATCGAGTATTTTTATAAATACCGTTTGAAGCTAGTCAAACAAATACTAAATACTTTCTCTACTATATTTTATATGTAGTGATTTGTTCTATTCATTATATAAATATTGTTAAATTTTATATATTTTTAATGCTCTTAGTTTGAAATTTAGCTAGATGCTACATGCTACACACGATGCCTGACTCGTCCAAAACTGGGGATATTATTTTTTATTATTAATTTGAGATAAATAGTATTATATTTAATAATTTCTACACTTGTTTTTAGTGAACTTTAGGTTAGTGGAAGCTCATCCGCTAAATCAGAAGCTAGTTGCAGATTAGCGAAATTGCCATTGCTGTAAATAAAACCTCTATAAAATATTAAAACTAATAAAAACGTTATGTCTGTGATKTGTCCTGTCAGTATCTGACTTTGTTAACAACTGCAGGCTTGAGGCAATGGTTAAAACAGGAAGTTGTGAAAAAAATAAGCAAATAAAACAAGTAATATTCCACCTTGGGGGGGAAAAAAAGGAACAAAGGTAAATTTTAAAATGTGCAAATACACACTGATTAAAAAAACAGTAAAACTTTGCAATAAAGAGCAACTAATTGAGTTTTTAGACTTTATTGTATATTTTAGATTAGCTGCTGATAAATCAAACCAGTTTGTCCCAAAGATTACTTGATGAACCAGTTTAACAAAACATTTACAGATATTTTCAGACAGGAACTAGACTGCACCATCTATTTGCACTCCTTTTATTTTTGTATTCCTCGGGGGACAAAGGTCCTACAAGGTAAAACAAACAGGTAGTGTCTTCTTGTGGACACACAGAGGAACAAGACAGAAATCAGAAAACCCAAGTCACCGTCAACAAGTAGACGGAGCCCGTTACTCCACTTTAAATATAGCCCGGTCCCTGTAAGGACGGCTATAATTAGCCCCGACCGTTATCCAAAATTAACACTTTGTTTATGAAACAGATAAAAACCTGTTTTTAAAAAGGAGCGAGGATGTGTTTTAGTTAAGAAATATAAACAAACATCTGCAACGAGGCGAATCTTTTTACGAAAACTCATTAAAACCCTCCATCAGATTCAACTACAAGCTGGACGACACACGACGGGTGACGTTTAATTCATGGAAAATGTTCATTCATCGTCGCGGACCTCTTACGGCTCGAATAGACCACCGAGGTTAGTTGCGTCGCTGCCTACCGTAAAGATGAAACTTCGTCCGCGCTCTCCGACGTCTTCAGCGAACAGGTCCTCCGAAATAAAAAAGTTCTTCTGACGCAGAAAAGAACAAGCCACGAAGAAGAGAGAGAGGTGGAGATATCAGACAGGTTCAGTGCTGCCACATCTTTCCTCSACGTTTCGTTTCAGAGGTGACGGTGGCAGAGCGACCTCCGACCTCAGGTGGAGGCAGCCCTCTGAGATGAATGTCGCAACGTCTGAACGGTCTGTCGACGCCCGCACGCGCAGCCAGGGGCGTTCCTAAGACGGCCTCCAYGAGGGCAGGGCCGGGGTGGACATGTTACAAACACATGAATGAAACCCTCAAAATTAAATWAAAAAAAAAGTGAAAATGTTTGTTTTCAGCACTTTCTTGGTAACAATAACTCTGACTGAAAATCTGTAAAAGTCTTGTTTTTTTAATGTTTTTATTATTGTTTTATTTTGTTGTCAGTGTGAAGACTTTAAACGTGTTTAACCTCTGTGTTAAGCTTCGGGGTGACAAAATACAAAGAGGTTTGTGTCTTACCTGTCCAATGTCCTCGTCTTCATCAGGTGTCCAGACCTGTCCCTTATACCCACCGTCTTGTCTCCTTTCAAAATTTCTATCATCAAACACACTTAGGAAAGAATAAGTWTAAATACCGTGTATGTTTTGTTTCTTTTAATGAAATAAAAATATTCAAACAAGTCGAGACAAATTCAGTTTTTAGCTAGCTTTTTCCTACTTTTAGCCAACCATACTGTATCATTACTTTTAGGTTTTAGTCTTTAATATTTTTGACACATGAAGTCTTTTGTACGATGGCCCAAAGGTGTCAAGTCAAATACAAAACCCACAACACAAATACCATAAAAATTATGTTGCATGACTTCTGTTGTGACTTTTGCATTTGTGTTGTCTTTTGTATTTGTGTTGTGACTTTTGTATTTGTGTTGTCTTTTATATTTGAGTTGTGACTTTTGTATTTGTGTTGTCTTTTGAATTTGTGTTGTGACTTTTGTATTTGTGTTGTCTTTTGTATTTGTGTTGTGACTTTTGTATTTGTGTTGTCTTTTGTATTTGTGTTGTGACTTTTGTATTTGTGTTGTCTTTTGTATTTGTGTTGTGACTTTTGTATTTGTGTTGTGACTTTTGTATTTGTGTTGTCTTTTATATTTGAGTTGCGTCTTTTGTTATTGTGTTGTGGCTTTTGCATTTGACATGACACCTCTGAGCCACCATACTTTCGAAAGCCGTTTTAAATTTTAGCTTTATTTCTACCATTCTGGTTTTGAACTAACCTTTAGCTACTTTTAGCTAGCATTTTACTACATAAACTCTAGCCAGCCTATTTATAATTTTAGCTAGCTTTTTGCTACTTTAAACATATAATAGACTGTGTCCAAAACGACAGGCCGGGTCCTCCGGAGGACCCAGACTACCCGGTCGCGGCGGGCCTGGTCCTTGGTAGACCGGGAAGACCGGAAAAAAAGAGGCTGTGAATTTGGACGGTCTAGCGTCCCCTCCTTACCCCGTCCTTACGTCATGTCACCTAGCAACTGTGACGATGCTAAACAAGCAAACTTAAATCAAAACTAGAAAAATATCAATACATTAGCATTATTAATTTCACAAAACTATAAAATTAACTTAAAGGTAACATTTGAAGAACTAATTGACCCGCTGTAGGTGCATGTTTATTTCACTTTTTTATGACAAAAATAATATTTAAAAACATGTCTATACAAATGATAAAAGTGTTAGAATTGCAACCGTTAAAAAGTTTAATTTTTATATCGCCATATTTTTATTTAAAACATTCTTTTGTCTAGCTTCGTCCGCCATTACTAGCTTAAAAAAATCTCCGGTCGGGCCGCAATGCATTATGGGATATGCTGGGCCGGGAAGGATCCATCAGAACTGTCCTTCAAATCGAGGAAAAGGAAGGACGTATTTGTCGGCCGCATCRGAGGAGTCTTCGGTTTTGGACGGCCTTCGTCGCGGCGCTGTGACGTATGCGGCCGACRAATTCGGCCTTCGGAGGACCCGTCCTGCCGTTTTGGACACAGCCATAGCTTGCTTGTTCATACTTTTAGCTAGCATTTTATTTATAAACATCTAGCTAGCCTTTTGCTATTTTTATCTTTAGCTTTTAACCAAACATATTGTTACTCTAAACTTCTAGCTAGCCTTTTTGATTAATCTTGACACGTTGTCTTTTGATAGCTTATTTTAGCTTGCTTTCTGCCATTCTAGCTTTCAGCTACCTTTTTACTACTTTTAGATACACTTTTCTACTTTTAGCTAGCATTTTGTTACTTCTAGCTTAACATCTAGTTAGCATTTTGAGCAAAACGCCAGCTAAAAGCCAGATGTAGCAAAACTGTAGCTGACAAAAAAACTGCAAAACTTTGGCTAAAAACAAAACAGTAGCTAAAAGCTAAAATAAGAAGCAAAAACAGCCTGTAGGTGAAGCAGAATTCGAAACAAAAGTTTTTTTTTCAAAGGAATTGAAAAGATCACTTTATGTTTTTACTGGAGATTTATAAATACATTTAAAAAGTACTAAAGTTGTAAATAATATGAAGTTTTTAGCAATAGAAAGTACGATAAAACAGGAAACACTCATGAAGTCTGTGTTTCATGTTGAACTGCTCCCATGTGGACTTTCATGGATCAAGCTTTGTTTACATTGAGTGCGTACCCTCATGATGAAGTAGCTTTTGAAGAAACTATAAACAGGAAAACAATAATTTTAAGAAACGTTCTTGGATTTATTTACTGAGACATCGTGGGAAAAAAAAACTGCTGGGATTTTATTGGTCTCCTTGATGTTTATTTCTCAGATGAATGTTTATTTTAGTGGAGATTAAAGAGGAAGTTCAGAGTTTCAGTAGGCTCTTAAACCAACTTGGTCATCAGGTCAGTGGTTCTGTGTTGAATCATCAGGTCTTCTCTGAGGACAGTGCGTGCAGCACGGAGGTGAGGACAGACAGAAACGCTCTCAGGGCTTTGGCATCTCTCGGCTGTTGCCTCACAGTCACCTTTACTTCCTCCTCTCCACTTCCTGTTGATTCGCTCTCTTCTTTCACCACTTCCTGTTGGTCAGATGCATCTTTCCCATGTGCCTCTCCCGCGTACAGCAGCTCTCCCAGCACCAGCGTGCCGCCGCTGCCGTTGGGCGTGTGCTGGGTGTGCGTGTACAGGAAGACCCTCCACGGGAGCACGTGCGGCGGTGTGAAGGCGAGCGTCTGAATGTTGACGAGCTGCATGGCGGCCTGGAGGCTTCGCGGGGAGCAAAGAGGCACCACCGGACACCGGATGCTTTCTTCCACCCACGCGCAGTCCTCATCGTTTGAGGAAACTGGACGAAATAAAAAAAACAAATTAAAAATTAAATTGTGTTTTTTTTTATACGCGTTGCTGCCAAAACATTCCAAATAACATTATTTTTTTCCAGARAACGGCTCCGGTTTCTCTTTATTTTTTATTTCAAGTGTTATTTCAAGTGTCTTCAGTACGTTTTCCGTCATCTAACTGGTCCCGCCGTTTTTAAGCAATTTCAGCGATTTAAATATCAAAATGTTCAGCTCCTTCATGGTAAAGTTGTTATAACTTTTGCTCTTGATATCTTTTAAACTTTTTGAAATATTAATGTTTTTAAATGATTTTTTCCTCATTGAAATACATGGAAATTCTGTGACAGTTTTTGATGTTTTTCTCACGTCGTGCTGCATTTCTGTGGTGATAGAAAGCGTAGAAGGAAATTTTTAAACGTCCAGCTGATGTTTGTGACAGTGTGTGTTTCTGGGTGTGTATTTTAAACTTAAGTTTAACACTTTTAAGGGTCATTCAGCCTTTTAAAACTTCAGTAAGACATTTTAAAGTTGTTTAAAGTGCTTGTGACATGCATATCCATGAAATACAAAAAGTCAAAAAAATATTGATTAAACTTGGCATAAAACACGTGATTTTACTCATTATGTCACATAATTAGCATATGTTCTTTTGGATTTGGCTCAGCTAAAGTAAAACAGGAAGTGACATCAAAGGGGAACTCTGAGAAAAAAAACTCCCTTGTTTTTGTTTATTTAAACAATGTTATTTGAACTCCGACTCTTTCTCATCTCTCTAAAGAAATAATCTAAAGAAACATCAGATTCTTCTCTACAGTCTGCAGTGTTAGCCATTTTGATTTGATTTTGATTTGATTTATTTATTTAACAGGAAAAGATTATTAAAAATCAGGCCTGACTCAGCATAATTGCTGTTTTACAGCAGGTTCCTGTTCTGCAGCACATAAAACACTCAGAATTACAGCATCACAATCCACAAGTCCATTTACTGAGATTTGTGAATTGTTATTAAATGTTTTATTGTTACTTTCACCTGTCACTGACTTAATCGTTTCCTTTAATATTTTTGGAT